TATTTAATATTGGAAAAATATAATTATATTTAAATAAAGATTATTATAATCGATCATTTTTAAAAAATATCTATTAATAATATCTAATCGATTCAGTTGGCTATTTCAAGATTTATCTCAAATCGTTTATTTCTTGTTTGACAACGGTAAAAAATGATGAAATACTGAAAAGTCTCTTAAATATTTATTTCATCGATAAAAATTGAGTTTGAGGATCGTATCCTTGACTAGATATGAATATTGATAAGATAATATTATATTAATAAAATCGAATTAAATCTAATTTCTAGAATGAAAACTAATTTATTAAAAATTGTAAATAGCTGAGATTTTCTTTCTTTTCAATTAAAACTAAAAAATAAAATCTATATGATATTTAATGATATATTATTTATCTATAGATATTATTATCATTATAATTGAGAATATATTTTAATATAAAACAAACATGTTTATATAGAATTATATTTAATTATTAAAAATATTTATTTTTCTATAGTTTATTAACTATAAAATAATTTTTTTTCAAAATAATTCTTCTAAGAAAGAAAATTTTTTTTTTCTTTTTTTATTTAAACTGTCGAAATATTTTCATTATTTTCTGTGTTATAGTTATAAAATAATTTTGTTTAATATATCTCTAAATAAATAAATAATTGATAAAAAAATAAATAATATTGTCAGAATATTTCAATAATATATTATGGAAAATCAAGATAAATAAATTCAAAATAATTTCTTCATAATTTAATTTTTAATAGAAAATAATTCTTTATTTTATTTTATTTTATTTTATTAAATTCTATAATGAAAAGAAAAATATTTCTCAGATAATTATAAAATGATTTTGGATTATTTTGAAATAAATCAATTCTTGAATTTATCTTTGATTTCGTTTATATATATCTATACTCATATTCTAGAAAGATATTAATCAAACGAATATATATATTCAATTGAGACATTTTATATAAAAATATTTTTCATCTTTCATCTAATCACAATTTACTTATATTAACTTAGAAAATTGTCTAGAAAAAAAAAAGAGATGAAGAATTCGTTTAAAATTTGTAGATATATCCATAATAGACAAAATAGAATTAGATATTATTCGAAAATAAAAATTATCAATTTAAATTTCCTAAGAAATCTAAGGTCAATATTCAATTTAACTTCTATGTCAAAAAAAATCTCGATCAAATTAATTTTATTTGAAAAAATCTATTTTATATGATAAATTTGACCTATTCGAAAATTTTTTTATCGAAATCTTCGAGAATTGTGAAAAAGATGAGTCAATCTTTGAAAAAAATCGAACGTTCTCTGTCATGATTCGAATTTCTCTATATAGTTATAGATAAAAAAGTATATTTTCAATATAATTGTGAACAGTCAACTTTTATTTATAATAATAATCATTAAAGAAAATAATCTGACTTCGAAAGAAAATATTTCCGAGATTTTTTTTTTCCAAGAATATAAGATCAATGAACTTGTGTGTTTCGATATGATTAGTTTGTTTCGAATGATATTTATAGATAAACTTATATTAAATAAAATCTTTAAATAGATTTTATCAATTTATTCATTTATTTACCAACTATTCATATTTACTTTTCATGCACAATTTTCAAAGATTTTATTTTATAATAAAATATTCGAAGAATCGGACTATTTTCATTGATATTTTTGTTTATTTTTATGACATTAAACCTAATCCATTTTGCTCGTTTTTATCGAGTTTGACACTTTTTTAACGGTTGAGATATATGAGAGAAGGAAAATTTCCAATTGAAAAAAAAACTATTTACTCGTCATCAAAATCGCAGCTCAAAATTGTAAACTAAGATATTTTCATACTATAATAAGGATGTTAGTTCATCTAGAATATATTTATTATCTTTTAGGAAAAGTTCCCCATTGATAATAAGTTTAATTCGATATAAACTAAACTTTTTCCACTTACAAATTTCGAGTTGATTTTATCTCGAATGATTTTAACCGAGTTTAATAAATTTTCAATGGATTATAGTTTCAATTGAGATTTTCATTACCTGATGGAAATCTGAGAATATTTTTATATAAACATATTGAAATATATCAAGCCTAAATGAAATATTTAATTTCGAAATTCATTTTCTATATTCCTATTGACAGTTTCTACCCTTAAAAAAGTTGATAACTCTTGAAATTATCTTTAAATAATCATTTGAAATAATAAAAGATAAAACTTAAAAAATTTTTCGAAATCAATAAGAATCTTTATTAATAAAAACTAGATAAAGTAAATGATAAATATTGTTTTATATCAGTTGTTATCATATTAATAAATGAAAAGATTTTAAAAATATATTTTATTTTATTCTTTCTATTATACTCTTCTTATATTTAAGATAACAAATTAAAATCGAAATAGTTCCTATTAGAACAGTTGAACAATTCTATGATTTCGAGATTCAATCTCTTCATCGATATATAATAATAAAAATTTTTTTCAAAATAAGTTCGATGCTAATCAATATATTTAAACGAACCAGTTTTTCATCGATGAAATCTCTAATCGAATCAATCGATCTGGTTGAGATGAAAAGAAAAAAGCAAGGCAACCGATTCTAAGAGTGACTCATTCGAAAGATTATTATTCGGATAGAGATATATAACAAATTTCACTCTAATCTTATTTCATTTATTTTTCTTTTTTAAATTCTATTTAAATACTTTTTTATAAGTTTAACTTTAACAAAAATTTATCCACTTATATCAATATATTATTTTATCTTCTAAATTTTCATCTTCATATTTATTTATACAAAATATAGAAAAAGATTTTTTTTCTTTTTGAGACTTTTTTTGATAAAATAATGTTGAGCTTGTTTATTATTTAAAATAATTATTGAAAAAAGTTTATCGAAGGTGATATATCAAGGTTATATATGTTGATTGAGATCGAATATAAAAAAGAAATAAAATAAATTTATTCTTTTTCAATTGGTGGAGCTGATGGATAAATATTATTCTCAATAACTTGTTTATAATTAGATGATGAAACTTTTTCTTTTTCAGATATTTTTCTTCTATAATCATTTTCTTCTTCTTTAATTAAAGTTGGAGTTGGTGATAATAAATAACTTCTTGGATGTTCTAATGGTTGTTTAAATCTTTCAATATGAGAAGCCCAAATTGCACTACCAATAACATTTGTTATTGGTGTTATTATATTTAAAAATGGGATCATTTCAAATAAAATAGCAACTATACCAAATCGAGTATAATCTAATCGATTTTGTTCAACAAAATGTTTTCCTTAACAAAAAAAAGAATTTTATATTAATAAAATTAAAAGAAAAAAAAAAAGTGCGAGTAACCTTGAGCAAATGTTAAACCAATTAAATCAAAATAACGACAATGTAATGACCATGCATAATAATATCCATTTATATAAATATAAAGAATTGTTCCAAATATTGGAATTATATTTAATGGAGATGTTAGAACAACAAGAAAAACACGAAATATAATTAAGGTTAAAAATGATTTAATACAAGATAAACTTGTTGATAATATTCTTTCTCTTGTTTCATTTTCATTAATAATCATTGTTTCTTGACGCCAAACAGCATCAAATATAACATCCATATAATATGCTATATATAATGATGAAAATATAAGAATTATTATGCCTATTTCAAATAAAGTTAGAATAAAACTTATTATCCATGATATCCAATTAGCCATATATTTCGATAAACCATTAGCTTGACTAGGAAATACAAATAGAAATAATAATATTGATATTATTATAGATACTAATATCATTATAATAAGAGCACGTATTATATATCTCCATATTGATCGATGTTGAATTAAATAAAAAAATCCCCGAATCGGATAACTATGAGATTGATGAAGAGTCATTTATTTATATTATAAAAACAAATAATAAATATTTCGATAATACTAATTAATTAACCATTGATTTAATCGTCTATCATCTATTACCAATTGAGTATTATTTTAAAAGAGGACACTATATATCGATTGATTATAATTATATCATTTATTATATAGAGTATCTCCCTAAACTAACCTAACAACAAGAAGAGTATCCGCTAAAATTCAACGAAAAATTCTTCATCATAATTTCCGCACTTTTTATTGATATAGAGAAGTGAAATTTTAATTACATATGTATCTTAACCAAGAACTTTTTTTTTCTGAAAATTTCACCTCTCTATATCAATAAAAAGTCCACAAACTATGATAAAGAATTTATCGTTGAATTTTAGCGGATACTCTTCTTGTTCCCTTACTTCTGTAACATTCTCTATATATTTACTTTTTCAATTAAATAATTTTATTTCGATTTTCATCAGATAAAGAAAAGACAGTTGATTATTATTCAAATCTAATTGAATTCATTTTAAATCTGATCATTTTATATTAAATATAACGATCCATCATCAAAAATCCTAATTTATTTATTTAAATCTCGAATATTTTATCACCTGATCAGTCGATTTTATTCCTCTATAAGGGTACTGTGTGTTGTTACCTCTATATTATCATCTATTCATTTTTCATTTTTATGTCTTTTCCGGTTTGTTTTCTCTCTCTCTCTCTCTCTCTTGTTTTACTGTTTTTTTTGTGCTCATAGGTAGAATATAATTATTATAATAAAAAGAGAGTTCTAGGTTTTTGAGAGTGTCAATTGTGAAGTTATATATTTCTGGGAGTATTAGAGTTAAATAAAATAGATTTCTATATGCCATTTATTTGCTTTTCTCGGTATTATTTATGATTAAGAGAGAATTTATTTGATTTATTGAGATTGTTTATCTATGATTAAGGTTGGTCAACATCTAGAGATCTCAAGTGGCGCAAACTTGGTTGGGTCTGATCATTAAGAAAAAAAATCAATTTTATCGAATATATAATTACCTTTAGTCAGAGAAGAATTATTATCCAAATCAATAGTTAATCGATTATCTATTCAAAGAGTCTGACAGGAACCAATTAATACAGAATTTATTCCAATTTTCTTGGAATAAATCTTCTCCTACCGTCAAATCTATGAATTATAAATAGGTGCGTAAGTTGAATTCTCGAATTCGTTTTGTTGAATATATAATTAATAATAAAAATGTAAGATTATATAATCGACAATCTTTATAATCAATAATATTATTTAAAATCTATTGTCAATTCTACACAACATTCACCAATTTTATATTCTCGATTAAATTCAGCTGATCAATATCTTGATATTTCTCTATCTATTTGATCAATGTTCATCCAATATTCTCATGAAACTTCAACTTGACAACCAACTAAAACAATATCATTCGATCATTCTAATACACTAACCGGTGATAATAAAATACCTTATTTACAATAAGTTGTATAGAAATCGAACGCAACACTTCAACATCGTCATACTGAAATTATTAATCTTAGAAAAATAGATCGATGAACTTCGTCATTTTTCAATTAATTTAAAGTAAAAATTCATCCAATGTATCAACACTATCAACACATACTGCATGATTATTATCTTAAAATTGATATACATTGTTCGTTTATTCGAATTATTGCTTCTCATAGACTTCAACCAGTTCCTCTACATACAAATATATTGACATCACCATCAGTAGTCATGTCATTTACTATATCATTAATCAACACTTTACCTAATATTAATGGTAAAGAAGGTGAAATATCAACAAAATTTATTAATGAATCTGAAATTGATGCATAAAGTCTTGTTAGTTATAGTGATGATTATTTACTTGGTGTTATTCGATAATCGTTATCTGATACAGATCTAATGTGGTATATTCAAACACAACGAGAACAATCTATTACGAACCGATCACAATTTAAACAATTATTTCTTCGTTGAGTTCGAACTTGAGAAAAAATTGAATTATTAGGTGGTCGTTTACGCACGTTATGGTACAGTGACAATGAGCCAACTGTCGATTATTTTGAACGACTCAAAGCATCAATGTCAGAAAGTGAATCTCAAACTTCTATTGATTATATTAAACGAAAGTTTTTACAAAAACTACGCAAAGATATACGCGATAAAATGACATTTGACCTTAGATATTCTTTATCAGATCTTGTACAAAAAGCCATTGAAATCGAATCAAATATTGTTCAACAATAAATTTATGTCAAACTTCGTAATGCACACACGGAAGACAACAACAAACAAAATTCTACCACTGTTAATAATTTATTGGATATTTCTCAACCTAATCCATCCTCTTTAACAACTTATTCTCTTATTCTCTTTCTCGTAGAGAAGAATCTAGCAAACATAAATTATCTGATTGCTTGATTACTTGTATGTTCGCACTTCACTGATTGACCGGAAATCAATCCAAGACGAAAAGGCATAATTATCTTTAAAACTTTACCAAAGGTAATTGAAGATTGAGAATCCGAATCCGAGGTCAGTTTTAACTAATTAATTATTAATTAATTATTAACTGATTATTAGTTATTAATATTTTCTAAAAAACTTGACCAAAGGTAATTGGGATGAGGGATCCAAATCTGAAGTCAGTTTTAATTAATCATTAACTAATTATTAATTGATTATTGATTATTAATATTTCCTACAAAAACTTGACCAAAGGTAGCCGAGGATGGGGAATCCGAATCCAAGGTCAGTTTTAATTAATTAATTATTAACTGATTATTAATTCTGAATTTTTTTCAAAAAAAAATTGGTCAAAGGTAATCGAGGGTAGACAATTGGAATCGAAGGTCGGTTTTAATTCTTAACCTATTATTAGTTAATTATTAATTATTTATATTTTCGACAAAACTTGACCAAAGGTTATCGATGGTGGAGAACTCAAATCTGGGATCTGTTTTAATTATTAATCATTCATATTTTTCACAATATTTGAAAAGGGAAAGTTGAGGGTCAGGAACTTGAATCCAAAGCCTGTTTTCATTTTTTTCTCAATGCTGCTATTATTTGTGTTTTTTCTGGGAAACTTGATAAAAGATTTTTCAAATAAAAAACGATAATCTATGATAAGTTTGTGTTAATAAGCTAGTAATGCTAAGGAGTAATAAAACATACTAATGTCATCATAGTTTAGGAGAAAATGTCACTAGAGGAAATTAAAAAACAAGAATTTCAATCTGGAACTAGTTACTATTATTAATATAGATAAGTGAATAATTTAGGGAGAGTTCAGAAATAGCACTTCTACGAGAAAGAGCTGAGCGAGTCCACAGACAAGCGTTACTTCTAATCATAAAACTTCCTATAATAATTATAAAAATAATTTCAAATACAACAATAATCAACAAGCTGATTCCACTAATAAATATTGACGCACGTTTACAAATTGAAGAATATGACTATCTCGATAATTTCAAAGTTAAAATGAATCTTATATCTCTCGACAAGTTTATAATCGAAATATAAAAGTAAAACCTCGAAAAAGTAATCATTGGTGTTCATTTTGTTCAACTACAAGTCACAACTAGTTTCATTGTTATTCGAATTTCAACGATTCTAATTATTAACTTCAACAATATCAACATGTACAACAACAACTCAGTCAACGATCTATGTCATCATCTCATTATTATCAGCAACACAACTATCAATCACACAATCAACATCAGTTAGTTCATCAGCAACAGCTCCAACAACATTACCAATACTCTCAATCATTTTATTATATTTACATCTGAACGATCTTTCATGACGAAAAATATCCAAGGAAGACGGTCTTAGAAGAGAATTCGACTTCCACAACTACTTCGGACATATCAAAAATAGTTACGAAAGTACTCAAATTATTTATAAACATGTTTAATAAACTTTATTTTTCAATAGTCTTGAAGAGAAGAAAATTGTCTATTTTTCTATGCTATTTTATCATATTTGAACTAATATAATTATAATAAACTTTCGAGAAGACTTGTTTTACTATGAAATGTATCTGATAGTACTAGGGCCTATGTGATATTTTTTTGAATAAATTTTCATATAAACAAGATAGAGACCTACGATTTTCATCGTTCGAAAGAGAAGATCAAAATGCATCGAGTGACATAGTATAGATTTTTTTTTATATGACTGTTTTAAAGGTTTTCAATAAACGTTTTTGAAAACAAACCTACTTGTGCGGTGTTTAGAATAAATTCTTAATTGTCAAGTATGTGTTGAAACCGATGGTGGAAGGTCTAAAAAACTATACAAGCTTCAGAGATTTAAAATTAATCATTGAGAAACGATAAGTATCCTAGTCGAAGTTTTAACTGATTTTTCTGGCATTTTCTTGTAAAAGAACTTTTTATTGTTTCCTTTTTGATAAGAAATCATTTTCTCCACAGTTAGAAAACTGATTAGACTAATAGTAGATCATATACTAAGAAAACGTATATTACATAATTCGATACATCTTGATATTCTCTTTCGAACGATGAAAATCGTAGGTCTCCATCTTGTTTATATGAAAAGTTATCCAAAAAAATATCAAATAGGCCCTAGTACTATTAGATACATTTCATAGTAAAACAAGTCTTCTCGAAAGTTTATTATAATTATATTAGTTCAAATATGATAAAATAGCATAGAAAAATAGACAATTTTCTTCCCTTCAAGACTATTGAAAAATAAAGTTTGTTAAACCTTTTTATAAATAATTTGAGTAATTCCGTAACTATTTTTGATATGCCGTAAGTATTTATTTGTATTGGTCGATAGTTGTGTAATTGTGAAGTAAAGAAATTGAATTTGTTCTCCTCGTCTGAGTCTATGTAAAATGAAAGAAGAAAAAAGAAAATATTGATAAAGATTTTTCATAAAATATATCTTATTAAATTTAAATTTAAATTTCTCATTTCATATTTGACTTTTGTTTATAAAAAAGCAAAAAAAATATTTATTTGTTAATCTTATAATGAAATATGAAAAATAAAGAATAAATCCACTAAGAAAATAAATGGTTTGATATTGTTATTTATTGAATAAGAGTTTTTAATAAAAACTAAGAGATTTTTTTTTTTTGATAAACTTTATTTTTATTTAAATAAAATGATTTTTATAGAGAAATAAAAACCATTAGATTAAATCGAATTTGAAAAGATTTTATTTGTTAAGAAAAAAAAGTCAAATATCTCGATTGTTGTCATTTAAATCATATTAAACAAAAAAAAAAATGATTTTTTTTCTTTTTTTTTTGTTAAATCGAATTATCACAGACGTTCACTAAGTATATTATTATAATCTCTTTGAAATTGATTTTGTTCTATTGATGATCGATATGAATCCGATGAAAAACGAACACCTGAATGTTGAAATAAATTTTCTTCATCTGTTGAACGTCGTTTTCTCCAAAATAATAATCCAACAATTATTCCACCAATAAGAACAACACTAACTATTGGAACTGATATTAATAAAGCCAAATTTGGTGACGATGATGAACAACGAGATTCAATTTCACTACGACTATAAATACCTAAAGATATTTATTTTAATAAAAAATAAAAAAAAAACATTTTATCAAATGAAAATAATCGAAATAAATATCTTTAGTTCAATTTTCAAAATAAAAACTTTTATTTTATCTCTAGATTTATCTTGAATATATTACCGGGTGTCCCAAAAGTCATGTTCACTTAAGAAAATTGAATATCTCCATTACGACTCGAGCAAACGTGCTGATTTTTTTATCAGTGATAAAGGCATGCACCAAGTTTATATCCATAAAGACATGTCTAGGGAGACCCTTTGTTAAGTATCACTATTGACCGAAGACAAGAAAAATTTACTTTTTCACAGTTAGAAAAAAAAGTCATTTTGCCAAAAAAATTGAATATCTCCGCTACGGCTCGAGCTAACGAGCTGATTCTTTTACCAATGATAAAGGCATGTTCGAGCTTTATATTCATAAAGACATGCCTAGAGAGATCCTTTGTTAAGTATATTGTTTTCTATTCGATATACGAAAAAGTAAAATTATTTTGTTGAGGTCATTAGTGGTACTTTATAACGGCTCTCTCTAATCTTGTCCGCATGGATTTAAAATGTGAATATGCTTCTATTATTGGTAAAAAAATCGGCTCGTTTGCTCGAGCCGTAGCGGAGATATTTAATTTTTTCTTGGTATCGTGATTTTTGGACCATATACAGGATGATCCAAAAACCAGTTTGCCAAAATAAAAATTGAATATCTCCATTACGGCTAGAGCAAACGAGCTGATTTTTTTACCAATAAGAGAGGCATGTTCAGGCTTCATATCCATAAAGACATGCCGAGAGAAATCCTCCGTTAAGTATACTGTTTTTTTTTTTCTCTCTGTGAAAAAGTACATCTTTCTTATTGAGGTCAATAGTGATATTTAACAAAGGGTCTCCCTAGACATGTCTTTATGGATATAAACTTGGCGCATGCTTCTATCACTGATAAAAAAACCAGCACGTTTGCTCGAATCGTAATGGAGATATTCAATTTTCTTAAGTGAATATGACTTTTGGGACACCCTGTATTTTAAGGATTCACCGATTAATATCATTCTATTCATATAAACTAGATCAATAAGAGCCTTATTATTATCAATATATCCTAGACTAAATCTTTGTTTTTTTTATTCGAATATCCATAAAAGATATTATCTCGTCTTTACTAAATAACTTACTGATAGACAAATCTTCGATAAAAACTTTCAAACAGACAGATTAAATAAACACGGTCTTAAACAACCGTTAATTATCTT